GGGGTTTACCTGCGCGATAAACTTAAAAATAAAGATATTCGCAGTAGAACCGGAGTAACCGACATAGCCCAACGGATTAGTTAGCTGAATTGGCAATGTGCCGGCCATATAGCTGGATAAACCGAAAACCGATGGGGAAGAAATATTCTCGAATGACAGCCTCGTACCGGTAGGCGAAGTGTGGGGCGGTCCACCGCTAGATGGAGTGACGATCTGATAAAAAAATGCAGTAAGTCGATGGATGCAGATCACTCAGGACCGCGCCTTGTGGTATTCTTTGGGGGAGGCCTAGGTTCATAAGCGTAATTGATGATCATATGATCCCAGCATCGAATCTCTGTTTGAGCCAAAATCCGTTATCGGGATTACTCGGATTCAGTAAGTTGATGGTTTTTCTCATCTATGCCTTCATAAGCACGTAAAACCGTTGGTTCTGCACCTGATCGCTCTCCGGTCGTGTCGGATAGCGTAAGGTAATAGAGAAGTGCACGAGTATGTAATTACACACACACACTCATGCATTATTATCCTATCCTGTGCAAATAGCCGTGACCGCAATTCGGTCTGGAGGACTTTATGTACTTTGCCTTAACGAATGTACATCAAAACTTATATTATTTCATTATCTCTATATCTCCTGTGTGAGAAGGGTTTGTCGTAATCATCATCCTTGGTAGGTGGATGGACGCAGATAAGACATATTTAATACTACTACCCGTTGCTAGTTTAGGAAATTCCGATCCGAATCCGATTTAAATCCATCCAAAGACAAATCTGGAAAACTTAGATCAAATTCGGAAGTCGATTGTGCACTGCGTTTGAGAAAATACGGTTATCGCGTGTACACTTCACATTCAAAAGTTTTGGCCATTCTAGAACTGTTTCCCATACAGTACTTACGTCTTTCAATGTTCTCTCAATCGCTGTCAACTTTTGGCATTGATAGTATACGTACAAAAATGCAGGAAAAATATAGATTTCTCACCACCACCAACATGACCACCCACGTGATGGCTCGGATTTGATTCCAAAGAGTGCGCAATCGTTAATACAAATTATGATGTAGTTACTTCGGTCCGTGAATATTATGATCCGAACTAGACATATTCTAGACTTCGTTAAACAAAATTCAATAGTGCGTAACAAAATAAAACCCTCACACAAATAATACTACGGCTACTTCGGATCAACATTTCTCGGATTTGGATCAGATGCATTGCGCAAACGCTCTGAGTACTTTCTGTCTGGCGTAGACGAAATTATTGAACACATTTCTTTTTTTTTTATAGGATAATGATGACAAACGAGTACACTGTCCACCTACTACCTACCTAATAAATGGATTCTGTGGCCCATAGACATCTACGTCTATCCTTGATTACGAATTAAAATGCAGACGCTTTTTCACCCGTGAGGACTAAGAATGAATGCCTCGTTTCCAGTACAAAAAGTCTCCGGTTCTCTAAATTCATCATATGAAACACAGCAGCGTTGAGCTGCGTTTTTACGCTGGTATTCTGTGAGAGTATGTTTCTTCCCCGGTCGAGCCGACCTATTCATGCTATAACTATGCTACTAATATAGCTTCAGCATGGCTCTACCACGTAAAAAGCCATCTTTCGGAATTCATGAGATTTTCCTGACATATTTTTAATTCCTTAAAATGAAACCGGTTTATGTGAGAAAGGAATTAAAAATGCTTGACAATGTGTTTTCTTAGTGTAAAGTACATCTGAAATTGAAATTAAGTTCTCAGAGGTTAGATGTTTTTACCGGAAATAATAACAAACGAGCACGGTCCCCTCGATGGTAATGAGATACCATGGCCTATAGACGGATGGGTTTTAACCCCTGAGGACTAAGATGAAATGCCTTGTTAGCAGTGAAAAGGGTCTCCGGCTCTCGTCACTAACCATACAAAACACAGCAGCATTATGCTGCTATTAACAATTTAATATGAGTGATGCCCTAGAGTTACGACGTACATATGTATTTTATAAAAGAAATTCTTACTACATATACAAATTTTGTATAAACTTCATCACTTTTCATAGCTTTAATACTTCTAAAAATACTAAAAAGGAACCACCTAGTTTGCTTTTTAGGGTTCCACTTCTATACCAAGAACCATCATAATTTCTTTCTGACCATTTACCCATATGTGTCACAGATTTATAACTGCTGGTTTTTTTTTGACCGTATTAGATAATCTAATCTAAACCTATGTTCAGCAGAAGATTTTTGGATTAATAATAGTCAACGGTTGGTCACTAGATCTTCGTTAGTAATTTTAGCAAGGGTGCTTGTAACATGGGCACTCGGTGAAAATATGTTATATTTTTACCCTTTACCATAATGGCCCACAACCCTGTGGAGTAAACTTGGAAATCCTACTTCATATGTGCCTCATCACGCTCTTGGCTATTTTAGTGTACTGTAAAAAAAGATGTAAAATACAGATGAACGTCAAATAAAATGGAACTGATTTTATACGCGGCAATTTTATTGAAATCCCAAACATACTGCTCTTAAAACTCACATCGTGCTTCATTCATAATATTGACATTCACATATGAATTTGTTTTACCTTAAAAGGTTTTCACTCAAAAATGTTGAAGCGTAAATTTAATGACTGCGCTCAGATTCGTGTTAATTCACCGCCATTTGCAAATATTTGGCGAAGGCGATGAAGCATGAAACCCGATGTTCCTAGCGAAACAATTAAATTGTTTATACATCGATGGTATTAGTCGAAATTTTTATTGAGGCGTTGCTAAGATTTATGCGGCATTAAGTCAGGGCGTACTCGAGCCCAACTTAAGTCCGCTCGGTCAGATCTTTGCTTCAGTGTCGAATACTACACGATTCGAGCCGATCGATATATCGCCTCGGGAGGCGCCTACCTAGCGGGGCTAAATACAATTTACCTTTGCTATTTTTCGTGTCGTTAAACTGCGTCACGATTTCGAACGCTTGATCGGGATTGCGAACTCCGATGCGAATTGTTTGTGAGCCTTTGTTTCCCACTTCCCTCGCCAGCTACGCGACATCAATTAACATTGAATTCCTGACTGAATTTTCTTCATAGTCGTTCGTATTATGGTCGATGCTTTGAATTTAAAATATATATTTTTTTATATTAAAGTTGTTAAGACATTCTGTTAGTCAAGTATTTGAAATACAAGTGGTAAAATTAAAAATGTTGAACAACCGACTTCAATAAAATTTGTTGTTGATTTTTTAAAAATAGGATTTTCCAAATCAGTGTAGCCGTCTTTGAGTAATCGGTGAACATACATAAGAAAAGATTTCGACTAATTGAGCACCTTTTCTGAAGTCGGTTGATGAAAATCAGTATGTTAGTAAACGACTACGATGTTTCCTCTATTAACCGATGAAAACCAATTTAAACGACAGCAGTTACTTCTAATTCCCCTTTTTATTTATCTGTACTTGATTCATATTTAACACTTATGTGATCAAATAGGAAGTATTATTATCAACATTTCCCTAGGTCTATGAAAAACGTATATATAAAGCTTTTAATAATACATCCAGACTCAAAATATAACAGAGAATGTTTTTTTTGCGCTGAAATACTCGCTTTCGTTGAAGAATAACCTAACCTACGAATTGATGCTTTTGATAAAATTAATAATTTCTTTTCTTTTTTTATATTCTACTAAGCCAGCGCTTATTTACGATCCCACCGATGGTAAGTGGTGATTTAGCCTAAGATGGTGAAGCGCACTGACTTAACAAAAGCCTATTCACTCTTGCCTTGTTCTACCCACAAAGTAATCGGAAGGAAAGACAGATGCTGGCAACTTATTCCACTCCTTTGCTGTACACATGATGAACGGCGTGGCGAACCATTTGGTTCGAATGCGTGGTAAGTCAACAACGAAAGGGTGGAGACTGGCCAAACGTCTGGTTGGCCGATGGTGGAAGGGAGAGAATAACATTTGATTATACACTTTTTTAAAACTATACAGGAAGACACAGTTCAGTAAACATTTGCCCTCGCTATTTGCGTTAATGTAAAAGCTCGTAGTTCTCGTCGGAGCAGAAAGTTGTGCAAAGTGCACAAAGTACGCGAACACCGCGGCAATGCCTTCATTTGTCGGCTCGTGACATTCGCGTGACAAATGTGGACTCAGCTTTATGTATGTACATGCTTTATTTCTTATACCTTATGGAAAGCGTTGCAATTACATAACAGCTAAGAATTTTTGTAGGTGCTTAGTTAAAATGTTTAATACTTTTACCTTTCATTAAATTTGAGTTATAACTGACGACTTTTACATCTTTTTCGGAAATATTTATATAAAATAATAGGTATATAATAGAACCAACACAAGTATTATCAAGTACTTACTGGGGATGCTTCATTTATAAGCCATGTAACTGTGTTGAAACAAATAAACATTTTCATTTTCATATAAGGTTCTCGTCGTAATGGTGTATTTAGTATTATTATTATTATTTATTGAGATTTTTTTAGACTAATAAGAAAAATACTTTGCGAATAAATTGATCCCTTCGGCTGTCTCAAGCTTAATTTAAGGCGATGTAAAATATCTATTTTCCTCTAAAGATTCTACTCGGTTGCGAAAATTCTATTGCAAGAGGCTTGGGTTAGCGTAGATTGGGTAATTTATACTTGCCTCATGCCCTCCGCCCTTCTGTGGGGGTAAAAGATACAAGCACTGAAAAGAACCTTACTGTTCGCTGAAATTACAAAATGAATCTATTAAATGTACAATTTAGTCATTAGCGTTTTTATTCATTTTGTTTTAAAAGCAGCAAGAAGGTTTCTTGTGCTATTTCAGTAAATTCGTACGAAATTACTGTTGTAAACTTGCTTAAAAGAGATAACAAACATAAACTTATATACTTAATAATTATTATAATTATATTTTTTCTTTTCTAACACATTTCCAAATTGTAAGCATAAACAATAGGAAAAACTATGAAATGACGTATTGCTTTTGTTCTAGGTGGAATGTAAAAAAGCTCAGCCGAAAGAAGTCATGCTCCCAGCGAACCTGGCAAAGACGAGAGCCGCTGGACGCGGCGCGTACGGTGAGTTGCTAGGTAGCGCTGTTGCCGCGGGCGCTAGTGGTATACGTTACACCCCTTACCCAGTTCATGCACCAACGCAACTGTTAGTAACTGGTGCGAACGTAGGGGCGGGTTCCAGCGGTGCCGTACACGTGGCTCATGCTGCTGCATATCGCCGAGCATTGGCCGCACTGCGCCCCGCTCCCCGCCCAACACGACCTACGCTCGCGCCCATCACTATTCCTCCTCTCGCCTATTCCGTATCTGATCTTCTAGGTGCTCATGCGCTCGACATACAAACCCTGTACTCGCCGCTGACCACACTCCCCACACCACTTCCTCTCTGATCCGCAATACTTTTTCAACAACATCCTCCTCATCCGTTTTAACTAAAGTCCTATTTTCTTTACTTTTCTTAATTATTTAGTAGAATATTTGACACACAGTCACATTTCAATCCATTGATATTTTTCCTATACATTCCTATTTTTTCTCGATCCTACCAAGAGGTCAAGACGTATCTTAAGGAAACTGATAATATTTGAAGTGTCTTATTTTTAGTAATTGCCTTTAGAAAAGAGATCGTTAGCATATTACAAAATGTGTAATAACATAGTAAATTCATAGAATGAGTTTTTTAACATAAAGAAATTTATAAGAAAACTAATTTTTATCATATTGTAGAATAAAAATCTGGAACAATTTTAAGTAGGGTTTATAGAGTACGATATTTTTCTACCAGGTAGTAGGCGCTTGATTCCATTTGGTTTACTTCAATAGATAGAATTAATAGAAACGAGCCTGGTATTTTACTGGTTTTATTGTAGCTTAAATTATGGAATATTAATTAAGAGCCGTTGGTTCCGCTGACTCTTGCCAATTTTTCTACATCTCCATCCATGTTATATGACTATACCGATTAGTGTGTTGAAATCTATTAGTTTATTATTTGAGGATAAAATTGAGCGATGACTTGATAACTATATTTTTATTAAATATACATATTCTTTTATATTCTTTAGCTTTAACTATGAATAGATTTTCAAGTTGATGTGGGCTTTTCAAAAATGTTATCAATGGAAGAAAAGAGGTACTTATAACCAGTGGATGTTACTTCTGAATTTTCTAGCTATTTATAATCCTTATTTTATACTGAATATAGCTTAGGTTATATAAAGCTAAACCTGTTTTTATGTATGTTTATAAATATTTAGACACTGTGTTTTAAATCCTTACTCTTTACGTATTTATTTATTTTTTGTTATGCTTAATTATCAAAATATAATTATCATTTTAGAATAAATTCTATCTCATTACATGAATGTTACTTAACAGCCGAACATTCATCAGACAAAAATTTTGTAAAATGAGGTTTGTAGTTCTCGTTGATACTAATAGAATTAATTGTATTAACTTAAAAATAGGTACATTTTAGTAGAATTTAGATTAATAAAATCATTTATTAAACATTTTAAAAGTCTGTTTGTTTAACATGTTTAGATCTAGACTAACAATGTGTAGAATAGATTAACGTTAAGTGGAGTCATAATATTGGCATTTATGGTGTTAGACCTTTATACTAATATACCCCTTGAAATACCATTATTAGAATTATTGACGGTAGTAAACTTTTAGAAAAATTTTAATATCTAAAGTTTATATTATAATATATTACTCTAGAACTCAATGTTTGTGCTAGCTAAATAATCCGCCAAGCAAAATAGTGTCTCACGGCACATAACACTGAGTCAGTATGTTATTTAAAATATATTCTCAAATATCTAATGTAAGGTGTAAGGATCGATCAATTTATGTAAATGTTTTTACATTTCTAGATTTCATGTGGTCATTGGGTGCTCTTCCTGATGGTAAGTAATTTATTTTTAAAGACACATTCTTCCATTTCATCTATGACGAATACTCCAATTCAAACTATTTATGTGTTCACTTAAACACTTTCTTCTTATGTTATAATTCATTATATTTATTATATTGTTTAATAGTAATACGTCTTATTGTCAGTATTGTCAGTGTTTTGTAATCGAAGTGATTGTACAGGACGTTATTGATCATGGCTTAAAAATGTGGGCAATTTTCTTTAAAGTATTGTTAGGGACGCATAATTTAATTAATGGATTATAGCACCATGTATTGTCAAAATGCATATCCATCTATCGTATGATGGATCGCGGAGCATGACAGATACACTATTTTGATTGGCAATAATATGATAAACGATCCGTAGTAGTAATCACATCAGCCTCCAGTTGTCGGTTTGCCCATCATTTATTTTTTATTTTTATAATGCACTTTGTTATTAAAAACACATGAGTGCAGTTTATTTGTTAAATATTTTACGTAATAACTTTCATTAATTATTATTTCTTTAGATTTAGTGTTGATCTTTTATAAGTAGTTTTATAGGTCAGGTCACTTTATAAAACCCATTAGTTTAGCCTCTTTGAATCTATGGTGGACCATATGTTTTCTTAAGAATGCATTAGTTGACGACATTAATTCATTATAAAAATTGACCTAAAACTGCATCTACAAAGCTTGGGAATGTGTATATTTTTTTTTTGATCTGATTTTATATAAATATAACGCCATTAGGACACACGTTACGCCAAAGTTCTTATCGATCAAAAATAACAATCAGCGCTTTAGTAATTACAACATTTGTTTTAAAACGGCGTCAAAGGAAAGCATGCAATCTGATAATTAACCCTGCTTTTCATCACTTTCAAATGTGTTTTCAGCGAATAATGTGTTTCTGTTTGATTCCCAGGGTTCCCCGCAGCGTACGCCGCCTACGCGGCTGGACGTAGTTATTCGGGCTATCCTAGCTTCGGGCTGCCATACCCTGCAGGTAATCCCCTCGCGAGCTTGCACCACCAGCTATCCGGAAATCACTACCACCACCTGGCAACACTCCTGCCATATCACCCACTCGAGCTCAGTGGGGTTTACAATGTACACGCCATGCATCTGTGAACTCGCGTCAGCGACAATGCATTCCACTAACCGCTAACAATACGCACTGATTCGCATACTAACTCTTCGAACGTTTTTAAATGTAACACCACATACGCTTTTGTATTCTATAACAATAGTTACTATGCTCTTACTTCTTAACTAGTGCCATATCAACGGCAAAAGTTTGTGTGAACTCTCTTAACAACTTTGCTAACAAGTCGACAACAATGACTGAGCCATCTAGATAAATCTACCATGCTGTCAATTACAAAACGTCCAAGTTTTAAAAAAAAAACCTATTTATTGTTTATTTCCAGGGTTTTGTCAAGACAATCCGGCCAAAAGCGAGCTCTTTGCTCTATGTTTACTCACGATTTGCACTAACGATCCTCAAATGCTAGGCGTTAAGTAAATACTTGTGCGCAAATATCGCGTTTGTCTTCGTCCTGCCCACCACCTCAACCCGCCGCGGCCCCACCTCGTCGGCTAGTATCGTGCTATCGCCCACTCATTAACAGTGAAAGCTTTTAAAGAGATTTAAACAGATTCAAATAAAAGTACTGAAAAATTGACATCCTTTTTGTGGTAACTCCTATGTAAATCTCGGGTAGGACGAAAAAGAATTTTTACTAATTAAACGTAGGTACTGGGGTTTTCAGTTTATCCCTCAAATGAGAATAGAATGGTAATTTATTCGTTACTGTTATTACTCTTTTGGGGATAGTTTCATCAGAGAAAACTAACGAAAATTCGCGGTTCGATTGGACGCGTCTCTTATCTTCCCAAAAGGAAAGTGAGGGTATGGCTACAGCTGCAACAAACAGCTTTCTTGTACTTTTTCACACAATATATTCATCTTCGTTATACCATAGTTGTGGTTATAAGCTCGTTTTATGTGTAGTTACAGCAGAAGTCAGTAGTGGAAACAACACGTATCGAAATATTTGGTCGTTGTTGTGCAATACTACACTAATGTTTCCGTAGTGTATTGTTGACCACAGAATAAAGAAGCTAATAATTTCCTTTCACAAAAGCGAAGCATATCGTGCCACACTAATTACTTTTATTTGCGTATCCGTATTAACACTCGAATAAAAATACAATCATTAAAACACTTGTAATGGACGATAGTTCAATAATGTAAATATGATCGAACAAAAGATCGTTCCAGTAATTACACACGTGTTCGTACGTGTACAAAGCCTTTAAATTAATGGTGTTATGAAACGCGCCTCACCTGTTTTTGTAGCTTGTATTGCAGTGAATACTTTTAAAGCAATAAACTATTCTGTAAATTGTTTTTTATTTCAACGAGTATGTCTAGTCAAAGTCTTTTCCTTCACAAGTCTTTTTAAAGAAATACTCAGGAAGTGTAATTTTAATTAACAGTCCTTCTGTATACAAACTTTTTGGTTATTTTTATGATGTAATAAAGCTATGAAAGCAAAGGTTTTGTAGACCTGCACTAAGTAATTACAGTTTGCAACCCAACAGAAAAGCAATGGTATACTTCTGGTTTTTTTTTTTAACGTAACATCGTCACTGGTATTTTCTCCTAAATTCTATTTCTGGTTTGTGCAAAATATTAGTATACTAAGAAAAATTACTTATGTAATCTCAATGCGTTCGATTTACCGGAGTAAATTCACGTAGGATTGTTATTAAATCCAAGACTAATCAATCATAAACATTGCCAGAGAAACCCTTAATCTAATTCAACAAGATTTGTCTCAAAAATAACGCAACGAAACATAGTGTTATCCAAGTTGCTAACGTAATTTTGCTTATCAATAAAATTTTTAGACTAGTTTAAATTTAGAATTTTTAATAGAATTTGTAGAAGTAGGTAGCAGATTTTTCTCTTTCTAATCTTAATAATTAGGTATAAAAAATGCAAACGTATTAAAATATTCTCATAATAGCATGCGGTAGTGAGTAGTTTCGATTTTATTAGGTAACGATAAGACTGAACACAACATTAATCATACATATAATTTGACACATATACAAGTTGTATAAGAAATGTGAATTCTTGACATTTCTTGTGATATACAATGAACCCTTGTCTTTATTGTGCAGCTTGCACAGTTTAATTGACATACCAATGTATATGTTGCTTATGAGTTAACTTAAAATATTTTATTGTTACCTTGACAAAAGTGCTTACTTTTGGTTATAGGTATAGCATTTTTTCTTTTTAATTTAAATATATTAAAATTTGCTTTTATATCTCATAATAATTCATGACAATATGTTTCGTAAGTATTGAAGATATTATATTATATTATGTTCTTAATGAGGCATTTGCAATGTTAAAAGCTTAGGTATTTCGTTTTTTAACTTGTCAAGGTTAAAACATATTTATAACATATTTATAATGGAAGTTGATTAATTGTACTTTGTAACAGATTTATTCATTTCAAAGTCAACGCAGAGAAATTATTTTTCCATTTAGAGTACAAAACACAATAAGCGTGGTATATTTCATTAAATTATAATTATTCATAGAAATTGTCATAGTTCCTTCCTTTTGTTTTGTCTTTATTAAACATACTTAGATAATTTAAAGCTTGCATTAATTAAAGAAACAAATTTTTTCCAAATTTTACTTATTATTTATTACGAGGGAATTAACTCTAAAGTTCGTTAACTTGTTTGTTGTAAGAAGCCTTAATTAAATACCACATTTTTGAATGATTAAAAACTTGTTGATGGCTCAGCAGTAACTAAGGAATTGAATACGGCGCTGTGGACCCAGGTTCGACTCCCACATGCAACAAGTCTTTGCAGTGTGCAATATAATATGCATGGTAAGCGCAGCCACGATTGAAAATAAGTCCCGTGTAAGGTCTCTAAAATTTATCAAAGAAATGTTGTGTTCAGTCAACATTCAATGGTTGAATTTAGGATAATACGTCATAGATAAGAAATTTAGATGACTTAACATTAGTTTCTCTAATTACTAAGTTTAGAGGATGAGTAGGAATTACCAACTATCATAGATTTTGATTTGCGTAGTTCGCAAACTAGCTAGTTATAGTTTAGAGTTTAATTTAATCGTTTCTTGTACAAGATATACTAAAATCGAGCTTCAAATGTGTTATTTTAATACCTATTTGAATATTTGCTATGCTTAAAATGTATTAATATTTAATTACTAATATTTTTAATTTTAATGTTATTCATTATATTTTAAATATTTACACTGCTTAAACAATGACGTTATTGATATCGATATTTATTGTTATTGTTATTAATTATTTTTGGATACAACTATATTACGCTACCTTTTTCGTGTTAAATTTATTGTAAAGCGGTTCACTTACGACGCGATAAAGCCGAGGTTCTTCCTCAGTGATGATCTAATGACGAACAAACTGCACAGTTATCCAAGTTAACTTTCTACCATTGTTAATGTTAAAAGAAAACTATAAAAATGAACGCTAAGTCGCATGTCATGTCGTTGAGATATGTCTTTTAATTGTTCTCTATGAGCGTCATCAATTGTAAAAGTCAACTTGGCTAGCCCCGCTGATGTTCAATTGATCGATGTTTTACGTACTAGCCTCGCATTAATCTCTTCGTCAAAATTAAGATATTATAACAAAATTATTGATTAATTAAGTTAAAAAAGTCAATCATTAAATCGCTATTCATGCGACCGTCCTTATCGCCATCCTCTAAACTAGTCATAAATTCTAAGCTTGAGATACTGTAACTCTTACTTGTATGTCAACAAGATGTGTGGTTGACGAATAAGTATAATATTTAATTTAGAATAATAAATGTTTGTTCTAAATTTTATTCGATCACAAGTATCTTTAAGGTATGGTTCTTTTAAAAGAATTAAATTAATATACTTAACATATAATGTAATATTCAAGCACTTAATTTTCCCTGTTATTATCCCTTTGCGTGCTTCAAGATACTAATTCCAGTAAAATTTTGAAGTAACATTCCGAAGTTATGTTATTATCGATTCAATATGTAAAATAACAAGTAATGACCCCTTATTCACTGCATCATCATTGTGCGTGTTTCAAATAGAGTTTCGAATTAGTTCAAACACACAGAAGCATAAAATCCCGTGCGTGTACACAAGTTATATTTAGCCTAAATATAGTTAACAAGAAACTATCAATTTCAAGTTTGCCCATAAAGATTCAGTGAGTGGAACAGAGGGGAGTTCCCCGTTTTTCATTACGACGAAGTGAAACTTTTATTTTTTCCTGCTATGCTAATTTTTGAGTAGTCGCAGAATAGTTATTAGGATTTTGCGAAATGAAGTGGCTTTTTTGGCAATTCGTTATATTTGTTTTATTTAAACTCAACGCTGCCGCCGGTGAAGCCTTCCATAGTTCCGCTGGCTGCTTTGTAGCTCTTTTTATTTTGTTGCCGCAGGTGTAGTGGGAGTTATACCGCCGGAATGTCGACTCTTGATCGGTGCGGAGTACGTTAACCCGGGCACGCTTGGGCGGACCTCGTAAGCCCACGGGCTTTCAGGCCTCGGTGGACCTACGCTGTGCCGACCGCATCGCGCTACTACCACGCACCACTACTAAAACATTTTGTCACTCGGACACCCTTTAACACCTTGCGGCCTTTTTTAAATACCAATAAATCTTTTTATTTACAAATATTCACTTTTTTGCTGAAGCGCCCACCGTTCCCCTTTTTCATACAAAGGAATGCACTGTCGCAGAAATAATGCTTACCTGTTTAATAATTTTAAGCTCGAATTCGCAGATGTGTGTGCTTTATGTAACGCCCGACTAGGTACGCCCTTGTAGCACGGTCTAAACAATTAAAATATTTTGATTTCTGTTTGTAAAAAAAATATGAAATGCGGTATCCCTCAGGAAGTAATTCCGAATAGTTAAGAGATACTGTACT